AAGGGATGCATTCAAGTGGAGTTGCAATCAAATCATCAAAGTAATCGACCAGCCCTTCAAATAATTTATATGTCTCGTTTACTATCATGGGCCTTGGCCATTTTTCCACTATTTCCATTTACTAAGGTCTAGTTGTACCCTACCTTTAGAAATCACATACTTTCGAAAGCCAATATTGCTCATCAAACTCATATTAAGGACTTAGCTCTGATAAGTGCTCTTTAAGCATCCGAAACACAATTCTTGCATATTGCACATATTCCTTCAAATTCCCTTGAATAAAATGAACATCGGTTACAAGCATAACTACAATTTTATCTAGTTATCCTTTCACACACAAATCAGAGCACCAAATGCTATGATAATCCAACTTTTTCCTTTCATTACCAAGCAATCCTTCACCTTTGCATGCCATACATCCATAGGCATGTTAAAACTAGAACATCATCAGGTCTGCATAATGGCTAGAAATCATTGCCTCAAAACCACATTCTTGTGTATTCTTATCCTCACAGTAAGTCCATATACTACACGACATATTAGTCCAGCACTCCAACATTCATACATATTCATTAGCTCCTTAAGCTTTAACATTTTCCACTTTGGGAGGAATTTCTCAAACTACCTTACCAAGGGCGTTCACAGAATGGGCACAAGTCCATAATATGTGGTCCAGTGCCTAAAATAGTGAACATAATTCTCCTCATTCAACTACTACACTATGTCATGTTACCTCAAAATGTAACCCTACAACAACAACAACGTCATAATTCTAGGGTTTCCACCCTTAGCCACCAATCACAACTCTTATCACAAGTGTATACTTATATACTACCCGACTATTTGTAAACCACTCATGGCCTTCCAAATTCGTTCTCTTGATTAGGTTCAATGTTATCTTATCAGATATATCTTTCACCCTAGTAATCAGCCTCGTTATTTATGTTCCTATCTCATATCTCAATCAAATTTGCTGACTAAACAAATCTCGACGAGCTTATTCAAAATAAAGTTGCCCATTAAACACATGCAAAAGAGTGATCCTTCTTGGTAGTAGCAAATATTTACTTCATCATAACAAACACATCTAGTGATAAAATCACTAACGGCTTATCATAATCATTGTCTAATGCCAAAGCCACTAACGGAATATCAAAGTCACAAGGTAAGAGTCTCCACTCTACTAGACTTGCTTCATACACACAACCATTTTTCCCACGAGGCCAGCACTTTACTCATTACAGTGGGGTCCAAATTTTGGGCATAAGGTCAAGCTTATAGCTGCAACCGCAATACTTTACTCGTGATATGCTTATTCAAACCACAATCATTAAACTATGGGATCCTAAAACATACTTCAAATTGGGGTCATAAATTAAAAATGATGGTATCTGGATATTCAAAATCACTTCTAATATGTCCATCATTGACAATAAGAAATAAAATTCAAATTTAATTGGTCCACCTAATCTAAGTGTGTCTTTCCATCGAATCACCACTTCGTAGCAGCTCTCTTGCTTGTTATTCCTCTTTTTCTTACTCTTTAATTCTTTTCAGTCTCATAAAAATCTCATCTTTAGTGTCCTCAAAATGGATATTTATAAGCCTTGAAGAATTTATCCATTGGACTGAATTTCAAAATGATTTTTGTACATTCTAGCCAACTTTCTCATTTTTGTTGTACATGGAGAATCAATTCTTTATCCAATAGTTGTTGATTATTCATGACATTCTTCAAAGTTTGGAACTTTCTGTGTCCAAAGAATCGATTTTTCCTTCTTGAAATGTCAATTCTTCTTTACCTTTGTTCAAACGTGACACTTTTACATTTTTCAAAGAATCGATTCTTCTGTCTCAATGTGTCGGTTCTTCAACATGGTTTGCGCTAAAATTGGAATTTAGGCTTGATTTTTTATGCTCCAATCTTATCTAATTGTACCAGCTCTTTCTTCTTTTCCAAGTTTCTGACTTTTGTTTTTGGTGCTTTAAGAACCGATATCTTCTTCCTCAAAAATTAGTTCTTTGTCTTTAGACTTAAGATTTTTGGTTCATTCTCCCTCTGAAATGACTATTGCTTCATGGAAAATCAATTCTTTCTTCTTGGACTTCCTCCTTCTGCATTCTGTTTTCCTAGAATCAATTTTTACTTTCTGAAATGTTGGTTCTTTCTCATCCTAGTAGTTTTTGTCTTCCAAGAACTAACTTCTTCCTTTCTTATAATCAATTATTTTTGTGATAAGATAATAAATTTTTTTCCACTCATTTAAGAATCGATTCTTAATATTCTAAAGGTCATTTCTCTAAGACTAGCACTTTGAGTTCAAATTTGCTTAAAAACATTTTTCTTTGCAAGCTAAACTTCAAAACTCTTTACGACTTTCTTCGAGCTCAAAACATTTTTCAGTCATTTTCAAAACATATTTAGATCAATCAATTTTGTTATTTCAAAACCAAGGTAAAGCTAATAGTCAATTATAACCATCAATAACTTTCTCGATTTGTTGAAATGATTGGCAACTTTTCTCTCTCCTAACTAGACAATATTGGAATTTTACAAAATTTATAAGGGGAAAATTTCCATATATAAATAAAGAAATCCCATTCCATGAAGTTAGGAATAGACTCAAAATAGTCATTCTTGGATTTTCTTTCAGAATGGTTTATTCTTTGATTTTAAGGAATACGGTGGAATGGGTATTCCTTACTTCAAAATGAACCAAAGGGTGGAATAATCATTCCAACCGCAATGGAGGGAACATTCCTTCCAACCAAACATGTCCTGAAATTTATATTTTATATATTGCTCTTTTACATAATATTCTGTTAATTTCATCCACATTAATTAAAATATCCTTGGGAATCTAATTCTATGTCATTTTACTTTTCAAAACTAGTAGGACATGGATATATATATATATATATATATATATATCTATATATAGGAAGCCCTAACAACAAAATCATCTTATGATTCTTATCTTTTGTTTTTTTGTTCATGGTAAAAAACATTTTATGCTGAAAAGAAAATGTTGAATTTAAAGCCCTTTTGGCCAAACTTTTGCACTCAAAACCCTTTTGTTATATAAAGTTGCACGGGTGTAACTGCAAGGTGTGGTTCAAATAATCTTCCAAAATGTTGTACAATTCCACCCCCTAAAAAAAAAAGGTGTTGTACAATTATATTTTGTCCTGAAAAGCAGTCTAGTCCAAAATTTTATAATAAACGCTTTTCACAGGATAGAAAGTGACACTTCACTCCATGAACCAACCAAATCCAAATAAAAGCTTCATTGTATTTCCTGCTATAAAAGCACGAAAGAACGGTGCTACTTTGAATTTGATGACAAACATATTCATATCAAGCCTTTTTATGAACTTATTGAAGACTAAATTCATTTTGATATTTTGCTTTATCTTATCAGACCTAACACAAGTTTCAAAGTTTGGCATTTAAATTTGATTATAGCCTCTATGAAGGTTATTGTTAATCATTTTGTGAATTTATTGAAGGTTATATTCTTTTTGATATTTTCCATGCTGAATGCTATTTTTTCCACATACAATTATGGTTCACATTGAATGTTGATTTTTCACACATAAAATTATCATCTACGTGTCAATAAATAAGATATTACATTTGATATTTCTTATAATTTGGGCAAAAAAAAAGTTAAACAACTAAATATGGTGCATGTCTACCATACTGATTTTTTTTTCTTTTATTTGTCTGATTGAGAACTTAAAAAAGGAAAATTTGTTGGTTCTTAGTATAATTCTTCTGTAACAATATTTTCTAAAATTTCAACTTGAAAATTTTTTTTTGAGTATTTTCAAGCAATTATAAAAAGGTATTATACCCAAAAATGTCTATGAAAGATTTAGAAAAATTTAAATAAGCTTTTATTCTTTTATTGTGTTCAATTTATTTTTTTATATTTTTATTTAGAGTCAAATAAACATTAATTATTAACAGTTGACTAATTATTACTAGTTAAAATACCATTTGTCATTATATGTTAACGTGATATGCTGATATGTCATAATGGATAATGACATGATATACTGATGTGGCATAATGATATGACCATATTATATTTTTTACTTTTCACATCAACACCATATGAGTATAAAATAACGAGTAGTATATTCATTAATAATAATTAATTAACTGTTAGTTATAAGTGCTTATTGAATTTTTAAATAAAAGTATTACAATTTAATTGAATGTAATATAAAAATGAAGATTTAGTTTAGTTTTCTTAAAGTATTATGTCTTATACAAAAAATTATAGAGTGCTGAACAAAATTAAACATGTCATGAAGCATCAGTAATTTTTTAACAGTTAAATATTTTCGTAACCATATCATATTATTTTTGAAAATAATTTCAAGCATGTAAGCAAAATTTAATTTAAATTCACAAAATGCACAAATTGGAAACAGAAGGAGATGCTCTTGCAACAGTATTCTTTTCGAAAAAACAGTTATAACTTTAATTAATTATCCATAGCTCCTCTTTCCATGATTTTGCAGTATAACTTTAATTAATTATCATTCAGACGTATGTGATGAAGTTTACGATTCATATGGCCGAATCCCCGAGCATGGAAACGAAAAGAGGCAGCCAAGGTCTCAAGACTCGACCATACTTGAAAGCAAAAGCTCAGACATTTAAAAATCAAACAGGGTGCAACTAGCCACGAGGAGGAGTACTTGTTAGCCAGCCAGAGGGGCAAGAGCTGGAGGCTCCCAACGCATGGTCGGTCAAAAGGCAAAGCACAAGCCACTGCACCACGCGTCATTTGATCAGTTTCTGGGCCTCGTATTACCATCCTCGTGTAATGCTTCGACATTTGGCGTGATTTGATTGGGTTTCATTTTACGTATACTTGCCATTACACGAGAGAGAGAGAGAGAGAGAGGGAGAGTGATGAAAGGGTGATGAAAGTTGCGGTAGACTCGGATCCTGTCTCCCATGAAAAAGGTCCTAAGAAAGTCCTCTAATCTCACAAACATTTTGACTCTCTTTCTCTCTCTCTCTCTCTTTTTCTCTCTCATTCTGTTAAGTATTCGGTATTCAGTCCAAACAAAAAAACCTAATGGAAATGGGCGATCAGTACGGCCTGCCTGATCTCCGGCGATTCCTAGCCAGGAGGACTCATTTTCCGGACCACACACAACCCTCTGAACCCTACTTCACTCACACTCATAGAAACATGGCTCCATTAGCTCCATACCATGAAGCCTTCATGGTGAGCAATGGGATGGCAGTGCCTAGCAGCTTGATTAGGTTTGGCCATGATCATTTCGCAGGTGCTTCTGCCACCACTACTGCTATTGCTGCTTCAGCTTCTTCGGCTGCTGCTTCTGGTCCTTGCGCAGCACTGTTTGGAGTTGAGATGGAGAGTAGTGGGATTGGATGGAGTCTGGGAAATATTGAAGGTGGAAACAGCCGGTGGCCCAGGCAAGAGACTCTCACACTGCTTGACATCAGATCTAGACTTGATTCCAAGTTCAAAGAGGCCAATCAGAAAGGACCCTTGTGGGATGAAGTCTCTAGGTATATATTTAATCATCTGATACATATTGCACTAAAACCCACTTGAGTTTTTATTTTTTCTTTCTTTTCTTTTCACTTTTGCTGGTCTCAAATTGGTGTTATGCTTAATTGAGAAACCCTATTTGGCTTTGCATAGTGAAACCAGGTTGTCTTTCTATTTATATGAAAAATCACAAGCTTTTTTCAACCGACTGATGTCTTGCTTTAGCTGGGTTCGCTTTCTGCTTGAAAGCAACAGGCCTTCTGATTAAACTCAGAGATCCAGGTGTTCTTTTTCTTAAAAATATTCTTTTCATAATTTAAACTAGACTGTGTTGTTTTGCAAATGGTTGAGTTTGATCCCTGGAATTCCTTCGACTGGATTCCTAAGATGAACTGACTTCTTCCAAAACCAATCTTCTTTTTGTACTTCAAACGCCCTCTTGCTCAATCAGGGTAATAGACATCCAGTTTATTAACAAAAATACAAGATATTTAAACCTGCAACGTGCTTGAACTTTAAATTAATAAAATGTCCATATAGGAATGCGTGGAATATTTTAATCCCTGTTAATTTAAAAGATTAATACTTACCAAAGAAAGTAAAGACATAATAACATCCATTCGCTACTGTTTGAGGAATGTTGGGGGATATTAATTCTTTAATAAATAGTGTTTGGTCATCTTTCTTTTCTTAATTTCATTTTGGAGGCTAAGGTGAACCCATCCTGAAACTAGGGTTATTTTTCAGTATCATTCTTCTTTCTTCCTTTAAATGTTTGGTTTCTTTTTATTCTCTATTGATTTAGAATCATGGCCGAGGAACACGGGTACCAGAGAAGTGGGAAGAAATGTAGAGAGAAGTTTGAGAACCTGTACAAATACTACAAGAAAACTAAGGAAGGTAAAGCTGGAAGACAAGACGGCAAGAATTACAGATTCTTCCGCCAACTTGAAGCCCTTTATGGAGAAACAAGCAATCAGAGTTCACTCTTGGAAACCAACCTTGCCCAAAGGACTCTTCTTTGCCAAACTCCAAACAACACAATGAACCAGGAAAATCAAGAATTCTTGCAAGAGCAGAAGCTGAGTGAGAGCCTTACTTTCTCCAACGCCTCCGAATTTGAGACTTCATCGTCGGCAAACAATGATGAAGACCTTTCAGCCATTGCTTTTATGATGAAACAGTCCATGGTTGAAAAGCAGAAGAGTATCAATGAGAGTGGAAGTAGTTCGAGGGTTAAGAAGGGCTGGAAAACAAAGGTTAAGGATTTTGTGGAATCACAGATGAAGAAGTTAATCTATTCACAAGATGTGTGGATGGAGAGAATGTTGAAGGCCATTGAAGATAAAGAGCGAGAGAGAGTGTCGAAAGAGGAAGAGTGGAGGAGACAAGAGGCTGCACGGTTTGACAAGGAACACGAATTCTGGGCGAAGGAGAGAACTTGGGTTGAAGCACGTGATGCTGCATTACTGGATGTTTTGAAGAAGTTTACAGCTGGGAAAGGACTAGAAGTTTCATCCTCAGCTGAAGCGCCTGTGATTACTGAAACGCATAGCCACAACAAAAACCAGCAGGATGCGATTAACACAAACAGATGGACTGAACATGAAATCTCAAGCTTGATACAGCTTCGAAAAAGCTTCGAGCCAAGATTCCAGGAAGCTGGGTATTCAAAGGAAAGCCTGTGGGAAGAAATAGAAGCAAAAATGGTGGGTTTGGGGTATGAACGTGACGCAGTTGAGTGTAAAGAAAAGTGGGACAATATGCAGATGTACTTCAACATGACAACAGGGTGTTACAAGAAGCGCAAAGAGGACTACAGGAGCAGTAATTATTTTCAGCCGCTTGACTCCTGTGATGGTCAAGAAAACAATACTAATACGGTCAAACAAAGGGATTCACCTTCAAATTCTTATGTGGGCACTCATCAACAGCTCCATGACACTAACTCCTTTCAAATTGCTGTACGCCAAGGAGATCAGCGCTTATGGGACAGGTATGGATTGAAGCTGGGTAAGGGGAAGAATCAGCAAGTTTAGTTGTGTCTTTGTTTATAGCTAGTAGCTAGCTACTAGCTAGCAGCTAGCAGCTAGTGCTAGTACTGCTACAGAAACAGCTTTAACTATTGGTGAGGAGGCGATGAGGGATTTTCACTTGTTTTATCTGTGTAACAAATTAAAAGCACTGACTATTGAGAACTTTTATTAGTAGGAAATTAGTGCTTAAAATGTCAGGAAAATTAAGCTTGGTAAATTTGGACTTTGGAGTCAATGACATCAATTCAAAGGGTTTAATTTAACTAAAACAAATGAAAGAAGACCATTAATTTATTTGTACCTGGCTATGTATCCTTGGTTCCAACGCTTCTGTTTTTTTTTTTCCTTTTTTTTAATAATTGTTTTTCCCGCAACCAGAGTACTTTTTATCAGGATCCTACTGTTGCTTTCATGAAGGCACTTGGAATTTCGGATTTTCTTTGCATTCATTTATAATGCTTATATTAATTAATAATAATAATAGAACTATTACTTTTTGGTCCAAAATTTTATTTCTTTTTGCTGACTTTTTTCCTTTATTTAAATTAATTTAAAATTTTTTCATTGATGGTAAACTCTGTCAATTTCTTTTTGTACTCCATTTTTTCATTTAGAATGTCTCAGAAAGAATGTGGTTCTTTCCCGTTTGAAGCATCTAACACTCTTATACTTTTTATTTGTTGCAAATTAATTTTCAAAAATTATTTTTTGAACATTAACATTATTATAAAAATTAATACACAATACACAGAAGAGAAAGCCTTTTTCTTTGTTCTTAAATTATGTACATGAAACATAATCAATAGGACAAACCAAATATTTTAACATACCATTTCACCAAAGTCCTAAAACTTTTTAGGACTTCTTCCTTGCCATTGAAACAAGTCCTCATCCACCTTTCCTTGTCTTTCTTAAAATTCTATCCATGTACAAAAAATGTGAAACATAGATGTGGTAATAAGTAACTAAACAATTACAAATTTTATATGCCAAGTCTTACATAAAATGACTTGTTTTCTTTACTTCTCTTTTTGTTGCTTCAGAACGAGCAAAACTTAAGGATAACAATATAAAAATCAACAATGGACTACCATTTTTTATGCAGTGTGTAACTAATGCATATCTATTGAGTTATATACCAGTTTTTATGAATACTGATTTGATTAGTTGATATACGTTGAGTCCTAGAAATAATCAAGTCCTTTCAATATTTGTGAGGTATGAAATGGTTCTGTGATCGATTGCTTTTAGTGTTCCTCCTCTTTAGTTAAGAAATGAAGGATGCAAAATTATATTCCTGAATACGTAAATGCATTTCTACTATCCCCTCTAACAATTGCTAAGCTCCGGTCAGTAACGATCAAGTAACTAAAGCAGCCTGCTTGAAATCTAGGGGGTGGCCACTGGCCTGCAAGAACCCAGTTTCATGTGTTGATACCTAAGTGATTTCAATGTGCAAGATAATTTATCTCATAATAAGTGATTTTGGGTTCATAATATATATATATATATATAGATATATATCACCGGTGAGTTACCTTGCTGCTACCTGGTAAGGAAGATACTAATTCCTAATATTTGCACCTTAACTTGAAATAAGAATAATTTATCTATCTTTTAAGTTTTTTAAAAATACACATATTCCAACACACACACACACGCATGCCCCCTCTCTTTCACGCATATATAATGCCCTACTGGATTCACTCTGGTACATTAATCCACTTTGTTGCTATGTAGTAAATGAAGGCAAGGCAATTCTGCCAAGTCCTGTACAGCTTTCTTTTTTTTTCTTGGCATCCCAGCAAATAATACAACCATCATCACATATCACATTCGCACTTTATATGTGGTTAAACCTTTGCAATGGCCAGCTGTATTATATTTGTAATAATATATGTCTTGAAAGGAGAGCGATGGAAACAGCAAACTACCCATTTGACAAATCCAAAATTACATTTGACTGTGAAGTACATAATAAACAGACGTCGTCACTGGGTTTCAGTGATAGAAACTCAAGTTTCAAACCAGCTGCTTTGACGATTCCTTGTTGAGACTCATTTGTGTATATATATAGTTATCGTCTATCCCACCACTGAGAAGGTCATAACTTCAAAGAATCATTAATTAATGTGGCCGATATACATAGATAGTATATAAAACTATGTAATATCATAACCAGAATTCGGGATTAGAAAAGCCAGTATGCATCCGGAAAAAGCACTCGCAACAACCTGGAGTGGGTAGTCAGTGGAAATATATGCACAATATGATTCAGCAACAATATTAGATCCGGGATGGCTGAGGGATCAGCGTCAAGTCAGACGACACCTGATATAGAGGCATCAGACATGACAACACACGCAAAATTTGATGGAGTCGATGTGTGCCCTGCCATTAATAAACCTACCAAATTGTGACGTCCATCAAAATATATAAATAAATAAAACCTACCAATGTGGAGTTGGAGTCCTCTTCAAGGACGAAGAACGAATCTCTCTATAGATATGAAAACACACTAGAATTTAGTTCTGGTGAGCATGATACTTAGTGAATGAATATGGGAGAGGAGACAAGCTAAATGCAGTTTTTAGCATAAACCTTTTTACATTTAAAGTATATGAGTTTAGTTTGTGAACATATCAATTGGATGAAATGCAATGAATGTAAATCCCCTTAAATTTCCAACATTTGGATTAGAAAACTTGTTAATGCACAACTTGAGTTTAACAAGTAATTTCGAGAAAGGAATTTAAATTGATTTGATGCTCATGCATAAATTAGGTAAGAATAAAGTAATTTGAAAGCTATTGGAATGCAATTTAATGTTTCTAAAACCCTATGGAAAGTTTTTTTGTGAAGTGGATATATAATTACCATTGAAAAACCTTTAAAAATGATTATTTTTTGGAAAACTGGGCTGCATATGTCGATACTTAAGTGTGAGTATCAATACTTTTGTGGTAGAATGCCTTATGCCTTCCAAGTATTGATACATAGCTGAGAGGTAGGTATCGATAATATATTTTGGGACAAAATGCTTTTGGAATGCATTTTGTTTTCTAGGTATCGATACTTGATAACTCTATGATATAGAGTTATTTGGTTTTAATTTTGATAATAATTTAATTTAGTTCTTCTAGTAATGTATAAAAATTAGTAATTTTTATCTAATTATTTTAAGTTAATTAGTTAGGTGAATCAATCTAATGTTAGTTAATTTTATACTTATATTGGTGCTAATGTGTTTAGGATAGACTGTAATTGATTTATTTGTGCTTTTGTAAGTGTTTATTGAAGGAAAACTTTTAATGGAAGAAAGAGAGCTGTTTTGAGGTGCATACTTCCACTACGCATGTCTTGCTATTTCGATCATAAGTCTCTCTACAAAACTCCATATGAGATGATTCTTAGACCATTGGAAAGTCAAAAGAAAAAAGCTACAACTTTAACATTACAATTTTGCCCAGTTACGCTTCGAAAGTGGTTAAAAATCTTGTCAAAATAGAAATACTATAGTAGTCTTAAAGCAATTACAATTTTGACTAATTAAATGATCAAGGCCACGGCCTTGGAGGAGGTAGGTTGTGGCTCACGTAGTCTGATGAGGAAATCCTAATTAGAATTGACTTTTCTCTTCATCCAACCTGGCCCAACTTCAAAACCCTATAAAAGCAACATTTTAGAGAACTTTTGGAGGCACTAAATACCAAATTTAGAGCTAAGATTCAAGCCACAAACATCATTAGAAAAAGGTCTCATTGAAGTTGAGAAGAAATTGAGGGATTCAAGAAGATTTAGAGATCAAGATCTCAACTCTTACGTTTTTATCTTTTTGTTGTTCTTTTATTTTCTTAGTTTTGGTTTGATGATTAAACTTAAATTGATGATAATGTGTGACTTGATGGGATATTAATTTATTTATCTAAGATTATGATTGAACTCAATACGTAGTCTGATCCATTTATCTCTCTTTTGCTTATGCTTGATGTTTTTAAGTTGTTTCTTTTATTCTTAATGCTTCTAGTTGATTGGTCACCAATTAAATTGATCTGAAAACCTAAGTTAAACCTTGAAAAAAAAGATTTCGGTAGACCTTGAATAAAATAGTGTATGGTCGAACACACTTAGTTGATTAGGTGGCTTGATTTACATATAAGGTAGACATACATTTATAAGTCATACATAGTCAGGATTAGAGCACAAACTTAACGAATCTTTCTTCAATTTAATTTACATAGATATATAGTAAGTTAGTTGGGAAAGATATTTTTATAAGAAACTCGATAGAGATTTGTAAATGAATTAGGACTCTAGCTTAGCAGTTTAATCCATTAAACTAAGTTAAGAGAGAGACAATATTTAGATGAAGTATTAAGGGACATCATAATCTTAGGTTTGATAGTCAATTGAGTTTACTAAAGTAATTTTGTTGATTAATTTTATATTAGTTTAAGTTTATTAGTTTTCATTTTTCTTTTTATAATTTTAAATTAAGTTGTTTAAATAAGATTAGAGTGTGTTAATTTTAGTAGTTAACATAAGGAACTAATTCAATTCTCCATGGGAACAAATTCTACTTTCTTCTATAATACTTGTTAAATGATACGTGCACTTGCGTGAAATATTAAACAAAGTTTTTAGCGCTATTGTCGAGGAGTTGATATTTAATTCTTTCTTGTTAATATTAATACCAAGCATTCTTAATCTTAATTCAAACTTTTCTTTTCTTTCACTTTTCAAGTATTTTTGGTCATTGTATGCAAAGTGCTCAAAATTTGAAAATTAGTCCTTTTGATCTAGAAATCGAAAAGACTTTTTGAAGACTTCAGAGGAAAAATCAACAAGTTTTTACTCCAAGTAAAACAATGGCTAATCAACAAGCGAAAGAGACCAAATCTTTGAGGGAATGTTGTCCCACGGGCACAAGGTCTCTACTCTTGTATCCGAAGACCTCATATTCCAACCAACAACTTCGAAATTAAGTTAGTAATCATTTAGATGATTCAGACTTCTGTTCAGTTTGGGGGTTTGCTTAACGATGATCCTAATGCTCATTTTGTCAATTTTTTAGAAATTTGTGACATTCAAGGCTAATGGTGTTATTAATGATGCCATAAGATTGAGGTTTTTCTCTTTTTCACTAAGAGATAAAGCAAAGAGTTGGTTAAACTCACTTCTTGCTGGTTCCATTAATACTTGGAATGATTTGGCTAAAAAATTCTTAGCAAAATTCTTTCCATTTGCCAAGACAGCAATGATGCAAAATGATATCACTTTTTTGATGCAATTTGATTCTGAATCACT